GTGGTGATGAAAAATGCAATCGGTCCTAGTCCTCCACTGAAATGAAATAAATGAATTCGTTTCGATAAAGAGGTCACTATTGAAGCGCTTAGTGAAGATTTTTGGTTGTGAGAATGTTGTGCGATAAAAGTAGTCCTCGAAAAATTTAATGAAAATATTTTGTAACGAAGGTGAGGGATTCTCATTAGTAAGGCGTTATCGTTGTTTAGCTGCAAGTAGGATTTCTGCTGATCCTAGTAATGAAAACAATGAAGTGGTGCTTACATAAAAGGATCACTAGGAAACGCATCATGGATCAATCTCGGCTACCCATAATACTAATCCTTAATCTCAACATCAAGAGTAACGTCAACCGAAATCGGAATTACTGCTTGGAATTAGCAATCTGAGAAAATCTGACAACAACTGCAGTGAACTCAAACTCAAACCTAAACATATATCCAAGACTGAAGTTGACTCTAAGTCTGTCTCATTATTTGACTGCTGTGTTTCTAAACGAATAGGGATAAGTTAACGACTGTGGCGTTCCTTTCGCTGATCTAGCTGACTCACTAACAGGGGAAGGTCGCGAACTTACCCCACGTTTCGGGATGCGATGCATGTCATATTGTAGGGCTCATATAGCTGATTATGAATATGCAACAGCAAAATGCAGCTGATACTATCGAGTGCAAGCAACTATGCAGATAACTTGAACACAAAGTGACGAGTGTGACACAAACCCGAAAGTGATGCCATAAGCGATCAACGACGCAATACATCCGTACTTGAATTGCTCGTCAACATAGAACGCGATTCGATCGAAAACACAATACGCACACAACGATAACGTATTGCACAGAGCGAATGATAGCAGTAACGGTCGTCGTCCAAATCGGTCCACGGCTAATGCACCGAATATACTTGCGATGAAATTACACGCAATGAACACAAACGATCCGATCTGCAATCCTCTGATGATCAATTCTTGATCACTGATCATCGGTTTCGTTACCATTCGCATTATCAGTATTTTAAGCACCATTAACAGTATCATTACTGTAGTTACTATTATCATTATTACAGTGTTATCGACATTATTGTATTGAACTATTACAGTCATAAAAGTTAAATTTTAATCGAGCACTCGCCTGAGCCGTCTGCGGTGGGAAATGTGCTTCAAGCAGTCTTGTCGATACATAATTGATCGGAATAATTGATAGTGTGATCTGAAAGAATTGACCATTTTCCGGGCGATTATAGTGATCAGCAAATTTAGAATGCATTTTCATAATTATTGTTTTGATCTGTGAAAATTGATTTCAGTGTAATTCGATATCTTCGGATGCGTGACCGGTCAATCTACCTAAAGACACATTGCCTAACGGAGAGTTTGCCTAAAGACACATTGTCTAACGAAGAATTTGCCTAACGGACAGTTTGCCTATTAGGCGAAATATTCATTAAAAACCCGCAAGTTAGGCAAACTGTCTGTTAGGCAAAATGTCTTTAGACAGATTGATCGGGTACCCTTCGGATGTGCTAAAGTCCATTGTTTGTTGCATTCGATAGTCAGGTATTTCATCTCTCTCGCCATGGTCATGGTTAGCACTCGTCTATCTGACTGAGATCAGATGACAATGAACAATTGGAAAAATAAGCGAAATAAAGTGAAAAAGGTGCGCAAATGTTACTTGTAAAGCGCAGAACCCAACGAAGTATGCTTGTCTCAAGTGAGGTGTTCGAATCACAATCGGAATCGACTTCAAAAATGGTGCCTCGTAGCCCGCTTGAGCCTCTTTTTGTATATTCTCGATCACTGCTTCATTTGCTTCATCCTTGCCTTCAATGAATAATTGATCGTTTGTTATTGATCAATATAGATCGATCGCTCAATGTATGGGCAATAGGTCTGTCCTGAACATACCTGTCCAAGCCCTCCTAAACCAGTATAGACTGCAGGATGGAGGCTGCACACCATAAAGAACTTGAGCCTAATAGGCATGGTCGATTCAGAGGAATCGAATAAATTATGCAGATCAAAATGCCTTCAACAGAACGATCATGAGCTTTCACCTCGGTAAAACTGCAACGATGCAAGCGCACCCTGATGATTGCCCCTTGTTATCAGTAGATATTTTGGTGTCTCTTTCAGGAAGCTGACAAGCGTCACAGCTCCAATTCCAGCAAGCAGATGGACACCTCAACAAAAAGACTGTAATCATCAATTCGAAAAAAGAACAAAATTTGAAATGCGGATACACTGAAAA